GATAGTCCTTAAAAATAATATTCTTAAAAAATCCACGCCTATTGCTGTGATAGTCCTTAAAAATAAAAAATATTCTTAAAAAATCCACGCCTATTGCTGTCCTTGGAAATATATTTCTTTAAAAATCCACGCCTATTGCTGTGATAGTCCTTAAAAATAATATTCTTAAAAAATCCACGCCTATTGCTGTGATAGTCCTTAAAAATAATATTCTTAAAAAAATTATTCGCCTATTGCTGTGATAGTCCTTAAAAATAATATTCTTAAAAAATAATATTCTTAAAAAATCCACGCCTATTGCTGTGATAGTCCTTAAAAATAATATTCTTAAAAAATCCACGCCTATTGCTGTGATAGTCCTTAAAAATAATATTCTTAAAAAATCCACGCCTATTGCTGTGATAGTCCTTAAAAATAATATTCTTAAAAAATCCACGCCTATTGCTGTGATAGTCCTTAAAAATATTCTTAAAAAATCCACGCCTATTGCTGTGATAGTCCTTAAAAATAATATTCTTAAAAAATCCACGCCTATTGCTGCGATAGTCCTTAAAAATAATATTCTTAAAAAATCCACGCCTATAGTCCTTAAAAATAACATTCTTAAAAAAGCCACGCATATTGCTGTGATAGGCGTGTAAAAAATATGCTTGAAAACTATTAAATTATGACAATTTGTTATTCATTTTATTTATTATTTTCCAAATCCTAATATTTGTGTGTATTCGTGTTATAGACTTCCTTTTCGGAGCACAAATTTTTATATTTACGATGTGGTCCAGTTGTACAAGCACTTGCCGGCTTTCCTGGTCTATAAATCGGCACTTGATAAAAATTCGTAAATGAGTAATCACAGGCCAAATATAGCTCATTGGTACCATTCGGTGAGGTTTGTCGCATTACAGAGCATCCCACTTCGTCGGCACGTTCCTGGGCAAACATTGTAAAGTGGCCAATCATTGGAGCACTAGAAAACAATTTGTATTAAAAAACCAAAAGTATTTTTTTTTTCATAGAATTCCGAAGCCTTACTTCTTTGGTCGTATCGGAAACTTGACAATATCATTCATTGTCATATATCGTTTTTCTTGAAACCAATAATCAATGAGAAATTCCACCACCATTTCGGTGGTTAAATTAAAATTTGACCAATGTAAAAATGCCAAATTTTGTCCAACATAACGATGATCGGGTGTGGGACGACATTTATCATGTTTCATTTCACATTGTAGCAAATTCAGCCCGGACAAAAATTCAAATTCTTTATTCCATTTCATAGAGGCCATACGTTTGGCTGTACCGAAACCTTTTACCTTACCACCAGCCAAATTGTTGCGATATCTATTGTGTACATCCAATATGAAGTTACGCAGTTTTGGTGTCATTTTTAGAAATTTTGCATTGCGATAACATTTTTTGGAGAATTTCTGAAATGAAAACGCGATATAAAAATGCTATATATTCGATCTCTATTTCCTCACCCAAGTACTTTTGCAAGCTATGTGTTCTTTACAATAATTGCACGGATTGCCACTGATTGTTCCGTATTTGGAATAGGTTTTCAATGCAAAAATACATGTTGCGCAAACAACAATAGTAATGTAAATATATATTCGACTAATCATATTGAACTAAAATTGGATACGTTTGATGTAGTCACAATGGCGAAGGTTTTAAAGTTTATTAAAATTTTTATGGGGTTTTCGTTGAAACTAAACGTGAACTACGAAACTGATAATATTAATGGATTGCATTACTTACGTATATATTTAGTGAGTCATCGTTAGTGGATATTGTTTTGGATACAACATCATCGAAATACTTTGTTTTATATCGATCTAACTAACCCGGCAAACGTTTTCTTGCCTCAGCAATATTTTTGATGTATAATTTTCGGTAATATTCGGTTATAAGAAGCATTTTATCACTTTTTGGGTTTGAAATGAACCCATGAATGAATTTTTGGATAAAACCTCCGATGTTATAAAAAATCGTTAGAACATTTATATGGGGGATATTAAACATAAGTGAATCTATGCTCCCAATATTTTCCAATGATACCATGGAAACCACTCTAACATCTATTTCTATTATGGAATAATACGATAAAATACTAAAAATAAATTCATCGCTATCTTCGACCGGGCCGTAACATTTATAGCCTGGACATATATTCCAAATTGTTAACGTTTTTTCAGCTCCCGCTGGACATGATGGTGAACAGGGGAACATGTTCCAATTACCCTAAGATATAGGATGTAACGTTCAGATGTTATTTCAAGTCGGCTGCCAAAGCCACTGCTAATTTCGATAAGAATGGAAGTAAGAACTAGGTCATCAAGTCACTGGACGGTTGCATTTATAGGGGTGACCTTGCTATCAATACGCAGACTTTTCAGAACGCAACTTTGACAACTGCAACAATGTGCCTCCTCATGACACCATGAGAAGACCATCGACACAACTGATTAAATTATATTGCCGGGAACACCCTTCCAGGAGAGATCGTCAATATCTAGAGAGACAGAGAAGTCGAAAGGCCCAAGCATGAACTTTTGGATTGTTAAGCTGGTCTGAATAGCATTTATACCGATGCAGTTTCACTAGCAAACATTCTATACTCAAAGACCATCCCCCACCCATAGCAACAGAGAAGAAACAATTTCACGATTGAATTTATGAAATAATAAACTGGACTTTATTCAGTACGCTGTGGAAAATTTTGTCGAACGTAAATATATATGGGAGCAACATCTAAATCTGAACCGATTTCCTCCAATTTCAATAGGGTTCGTCCTTGGGCCAAATAAGTGACTTGTGTCAAATTTCATTCAAATCGAATCATAAATTCGAATGATTTATGCGCAAGGGTATAAAAAGGCGAGGTTTTTACAAGTTGTAGATAAGGTACCAGAGGGAAGGCATCTCAGGGTTTACTTTTTTAATTTTGAAATGTACCAGAAGAAGTAAGCCGATAGGCTGTAATATAGATTAGATAAAAATATTACTTTTGGCTAAAATTGGGCGACGTCGGTTTTGTAATTACAAGCCAAACGAAACCAAGCGAATTAGTAATCCCCACCATCGCACATGATATAATTAAGGAAAAATAAATTGATTGTGCAAAGGTTGTTTCAAAACGGATATTCCGTTCTCAGGATATTATAAATGCATTTCCCAGCAACATTTCTAAAAATTATTGGAGAAGTAAAAGAAGGAGTCTGATATTTTCTATATTCGAGCTTAATTTAGGCGTGGAAGACATATTAGGTTGGGGAAAAAGTAATCTATTATTTATATATGAACTATAGGACTTTATTTAACATTTTTTGGAATGCACGGTTTTGTTGTATGCTTTGCTGCCATTTTAAAGGTAACTTCATAATGCTTCTCTCGTAAGAGTCCTGCTCTCTATTTGCAAAAAATCTTGCAATGCAAGAAGTTATTACAACAGACAGGTGGACATATACTTTATAGAGTAGGTAATTCTTATTATTCGAAAACGAAATATACCCTTCATACTAATGTGGAATGCGCTCAAGAACCCCAAAATACTGAAAAATGTACCGTCTCATATGGGACAAACGGCGACTCTATGCAAAATTTTGTCGATCTACCTCAATCCGGTTAGACGCTAGAGTGATTACAAGAACATACGGACATGGCTTAAATACTTTAAAGGGTCGGAAATGATTATTTCGATGAGTTACAAACGAAAAAACAAACTTAATATAACCTTCATATTAAAACCGATATTGGGAAATCGTCCAACTACGCAAACAATTAGGAAACTTTTGAAGAAATTCGAAGATACTTTAAAATATGGTAAAATATAATAAAATACAAGAATAAGTTGTATTTGGATGGACCAGATTGTTATAGTTGTAATTTACATGATAAAAGTAAAAAATAAGCTGTAAGATCGAAGCAGAATTTCTGGGGGGAGGTCTTATGGTAATGCGTTGCATTATCGTACTAATGTAAGCTTCCAATTTGCGGTGTATCTACCTAAATGGATTCTGAAATATGTTGAGTTATTGGACGGCGTTTTTATAATGCATTTTGATGATAAAGAGGGTACGGACATAATATTTTTTACCCTGATAAGGCTTCCATCCATACTTCAAAGCAAACAAGGACTTCGAATCAAACAAATATATTACCAAGGACGGCTTGCACTCCTATTGAAAACTTATAGGGAATTCCTGTGACAAAAGTGTATGACTCAGTATACTGTTTTCTTTTGTCAATTACCTTAAATATCCTGTTAAGGAATGTTGGTCAAATATCAGCATAAACACTGTCCAACATTTGTCATTCTCTATGTCAAGCCGCAAACTCTCTGTTACTCAAAAAAAAAAAAAAAAAATGTGGACATGCTAAATATTAATTTAGTAATATAAGCTATGTCAAGTTTATTTTTAAGATTATTATGGGTTCGTTTCTAGAAGGATTGGATAAATATTTGTAATGTTCAAACTTGTTTGAGAGATATTTTATATGATATTAATAATGTAAACTTGGTTTCCAAAAGAATAGACCCTTATAAAATATACTTCATCAAGTTTAGACAATATTAGCATAATATTTACATTTAAAAACCTAAAATGATTATTTCAAAAAAATAAAACTAAATAAAACCACTGAAACTTGATTGATAGATTATTCATTTAATGAAATCTTGCCTCTTGCCAAGCATATAAAATAATTATAAATATTTGAAAAGGCCATCCAACCCATCGAACTAAAAATATATTTGAAGAATCCAACAATCACATTTTTAAATAATCAAATTCTAGCTTTAAATAAAATATCACTGCATAAATATTTAATAATTTTTATGGACAGCATACTGCATCTATGCTGTTGAAAGTTGTCAAACCCACATCATCGAATTGCTGCTGTTAGCTCTTTGTTCAAATAATATCCCTTTACGGTGCGCAAACTTTCTATGACAACTTAACTTCGGAGAACAAAGGCAACAAAAATAAAGTAAAATGAAATAAAATAAAAAAATATTATATGCATAAAAAGTCTCAAAAGACCAGAAAAAAATGCGAAACGAACAGAAACAATGAATTCCACATGTGAGAAGTTTTTTTGTTTTTTGTTATATGGATAGATTTTTGCATAAAAGAAGATCGTTTTGGTTATTTTTTTTCTATTTTTTGTCTCTGTTATATTTTATAAAAGTTATGACCACAACACTATTCTGCTGTCACTATGCAGTCACACAGATTATAAGTAAGAGACCACAAAGTGGAAAAGAACAGTAATGGTGTGTGGTTGGGTGTGTGTGTATGAGTGAGTGTCTCTCTGTAACGAAATGTATGGTCCAAGGAAAAGAAGTTAGTTTGAAGTTTTCCTGCTTATGGGCAGGCCTACAACTAGCAATAAAATCAAATGAAAAGTTAAAGTTAACATTCCTTTGCAGTCGGTTTTGGAAAATTACCCGCACAATTGACTTTAGAACTGCAATGAAGTTGCATTTATTTTGGAATGATGGAAATTAAAAAAAAAAACATCAGTATTACGTTGATAATGCCTAGCATGCATGAGTTCCACCATGGGCTTATATGTCATTAATTATTTTCCTTACATCTAATCACCCCCAAAAATGCTTCCCTTTGCTGCCAGCACTAATCTAAATTTTACGCCATCGAATTAATAGGAATCCAAAATCTGACATTGCACAAAATTCTGAATATGACCGGTAGTAGTCAAAGCAGGAAGACATTTACGTTAGCAGTTGCCGTTGATAGTTCGGAGTCAATGAAATAAGGTTCGTAATTTTGCACTTAAAGTTGCCCTGCAAGTAGCAACATCAACACACATACATGTTTTTGCTCACAATATGAATGCCTTCGAAAAATGCTAATATGTTTAGTATTAATGCACACACATTGCAAATTGCAGAGAGTGTTTGGGCGAGGAGTCTTTAAAACATGAATGAATGACGACGACATTTCCATGCAAAGAAAATTGCGGCAGACAACTTTTTATGAGGGGGGATGGTTGATGGTTTGAGGTTATGAAACTTTTTGACACTTTCAAAACTTTACTCCAGTAAAATTATGTACAAACGTCTGAAACACTCTGTTCTGTTGTATTTGTATCCATAAACCAAATCATGCGTCTAACAAATGTGTAGGAATCTATGAACGAGTGAGTGTGTGTGTCTGTGTAGAGTAAAGAAAATATTGATCGAGTTAGACAAATGCATATGGGGATATAAAGTATTAGGGTGAGCAGAAAAAAATGTAATATAAATAAACAATATTCTCGAAAGACTCTCAGGAAAAAACTTTTAAATATTATTTTTCAAAGGACTATCAAAGATATATGCGTGGATTTTTAAATAGTATTTTTCAAGGACTTTAAGAGACATAAGCGTGGATTCTTTAAAGAATATTTTTTAAGGACTTTG